CCTACGTATCCACCCTACCTCCCGCACGGCAGGGGTCTGGGTCGCCGGGCCCCCAACCGCAGACTCAGACCCCGCAAAATCCCACCCACCTCCTCGCGATTTAGAGCGGATCGCACCACCACCGACAGTCACCTACCAAAACTGCCAACTCCCACCATGATGGCAATTTCGCTAACCTGTGGAAATACCCTACCACCCGCGCGGCAGGGGCCAAAGACCCCGCAGAACCCACCCACCGCCTCACGATTTAGGGTACACCACTCCTCTCATCTGCATTTCGCCTCGCGATGGAGACTTCACCGCCCTCCATGATGAAGCACCCGCGGAGCGACACTCTCCAATCCCAATCAAGAAAACAGGATGTCAGAAGAAAATCCCAACCACATGCAAAAACCAATCCAACAGCTTCTCCCCTGTGGGAAGGCCCTACCACCCGCGTGGCTAGGGTCAGAAGACCCTGCAAACCCACCCGCCTCCTCACGATTTAGGGTTAACCACTCCCTCAATCTGTGCCAACCCCCTAAGAGACCCCACCGCCCACCATGACATGGTCTGTGCGGGGCAGCACTCCCAAATCGTCTCAAGTAACCATAAGAGGAACTACGCCAACCTCTACGAAACCAAAAAACAAAAAACAACAATCTACTATGATCCCTAATTTAAAATAAGCAAAATTCCACGAAAGGGATCGAAATTCCTTCATGCTACCATAATGTTTGCCTAACTCGGCTAAACAGACACACAGATCCCACCTAATTAAGAATCTAATTGTAGTAAACAACAAAAGCAAAATTGCCGCTCAGGAAACTAGATGCAGCAAAAATACGAGAGCAAAATTAACAAATCCTAAGATTCCTAACAACAAATAGTAATTCCACAAACCACCAAAACATCCAAAACGTAAGACTACACTAAAAAAAACGAAATACAACACAACCCGAGCAAATATTCCTCTATCATAACAAGGAATAAGACTGCCAGCATTTGTCAACAGTAGGCTGAGCGAAACCCTATCACGCCAAAGTTGCCCACACCACCTTCACAACAGTGAGGGGGACTAAGACCAGAGTCACTACAGTCCATGTAAACTCGCAGAGACCATGTACTTCTTCCAACAGCTTCGACTCCATCACGGACAGCTTCCAATGCCAGCTATCCACAAAACTGCATATCTGAGACCAGGGGGCTGAAGCCCCTGATCGTGCTTCGTTTATGATATGTTGGCGGCTAGCAAACCCTGCCTCGCAGTCAGCCACACATACGGCTCTCTCCCTTCGCGACTTCACGAGGTTCTGGCATGCATGCAGTGCCTGCGTTGTGCCGCCGCCTTTCCATTCCATGTACCAAACTGCCTCAAGGTCACATCGAAATTCTTTACCAAATTTAAAAATAAAATTTAAATTAAAAGAAATATATATATATACAGGGTTGCCGGTGTTCGGGATGGGCCGAACGCCCGAACCCGAACGCCCGAACGTTCGGCACCCCCTCTCGATGCGTTCGGCCGTTCGACCGAACGCGGATCAAAAAAAAAAAAAAAAAAAAAAAAGAAGAAAGAAAAAACGAATTCCAAAAAATCTGAAAAACAAATATGTTATGCAGAAGAATAAACTAAACAAGATTTGCCTCAACGTTATATCCAAACTCTTTACCAAATTTGAAATAAAAATCAAATACTAAAAATAAATAATAATAATGAAAATTAGAAAAAAATAAAACGCGAATTAAATTATTGAGTGGGCGAGCACGTTTTTGACACCGCCATCTTTGGCGATTTTTCATTTGTTTTTGGCTGTGTATCTTACATAATAGAGAATCTACGAATATAGTTTGAAAAAATAATAAATTGTTTTATGCCCCGAAATAAAGGAAAAACAAAACGTGAAAAGAGAGAAAAAACAAATTTGTGAGTGGGCAAGTAAGTTTTGACACCACCACCTTTGAGGATTTTTCATTTTTTTTCAGCTGAACAGAATGACTTCAAAATTAAGCGGGAGATACCTTACATCACAAAGAACTCACAAAAACAAATTCAGAAAAACACAATAATATTTGGGTGCCAAAATAACTTTTTGCGGGGTCCGAACCCCTTCAAGTTCGGGCCCTGTACGGGGACCCGAACGCCCGAACGTTCGGGGGTCAACTTAGGGGCCTCCGTACGTTCGGCCTGGCAACCCTGTATATATATATATTATATATATTATAACAGGGTCACCAGCTCATACGTACGGAGGTCCCCGGGCCGACCTCCGTACGTACGGGCGTTCGGGGTCCCGTACGGGGCCCGAACCCAGCGGCGTTCGGCCCCCGCCAAAACTTATTTCGGGGCCTAAAAATAATGAATTTTTTTCTGAATTTATTTTTCTGAGTTCTCTATAACGTGAGGTACCTGCCTATAAAGTTTCAAGTCATTTGGTCCAGCCAAATAGGAATTAAAAATCGCCAAAGATTGCGGTGTCAAAACGTGCTCGCCCACGTTTTTATTCAGTTTTTACTTTTTGTTTTCACTTCAGTTCGGGGTCTTAACAATTTTATTATTTTTTGAAACTTTTTTATGGGTTTTGCATGATGTGAAGTACACATCTGTAAATTTGCCGGGCATTTGGCTGTGCCAAAAAAAAATGAAAAATTGCCAAAGATGGCGATGTGGTAAAAGTGGCCTCGCACTCAGTAAATTTAATTCTTTTTTTATTTTTTGTTATTTTTATTATTAGTATTTTTCTCCGTATTTTATTTTTATTTCAAATTTGGTAAGGAATTTGGGTGTAATGCTCATGCAAATCTTGTTTAATTGATTTTTCTTCATAACATATCTTTCTTTCGGATTTTTTTTATTTCTTTGAGTTTTTTTTTTTTTTTTTTTTTTTTTGGGTCCGTGTTCGGCTCGAACGGCCGAACGCATCCCCAAGGGGTCCCATACGTTCGGGCGTTCGGGCGTTCGGGTTCGGGCGTTCGGCCCGGCCCGAACGCCGGTTACCCTGTATTATATAATATATATATATATTTTTTTTTCTTTTTGCCCCGGTCGGGCAAGTGGACCCGGGCCACTCTGGTAGCCTAAAAAAAAAAATAATAATAATAAAAAAAATAAAAATAAAAAAAAAGTGAGGTGAGAGAAAAATATATGGATGCCCCCCGATGAGGAGAAGGCACCTTTGAAGGGGGTGAAGGGGGGGGGGGAAGGAAACAATGATTATATGCATTCTCATGACCTTAGCCATTATACTGCCAGGCAGCAATCTAACTGACATCAGGCAGGAAGGCTGTTCTTTTTCTTTTCTTTTCTTTTCTTTTGTGGTTGTTTTTTTTTTTTTTTTTTTTTTTAACAAGAAACAACCCGAGTGAATGCTAGGGGTGCTGATAAGGGCAGACACCACAAGCATGCTCGGGGAGGCTCCAATGCCGCTCCATCTATTGGTGGGGAGCAACACCTGCTGGAAACCGGGTCCAGCATGCCTTAAACCACCAGTACTTGGCCCAGCTATAAAGTCCGAGCCTCGGCCGGCCAGTATGCCGAGCCTTGCCGAGGCTCGAACTACCGGGCGTTAACTTCCCGAACGTGCTTGGAGAAGAACACGGAATAAAGAACAGGAAAAAAAAAAAAAAAATGCAAAAGCAACGACATAAAACGAGATTTACTCTAAATAACATGGAAAAAAAAAAAAAAACCCGGTTACTGACTCCTCGACATGCACAAAAGACAATAATCAAGGCGGTGTATCTTTCCATGTTCTAGCGGAAAATTCACTCTCGTTTTCGTTTTCCGAAACGAACGAGAGAGAGAGAGATTGAAGATTGAAGAAGACGAGACAGAACGGAAGTAACACGAGACAAGAGCAGGTAAGAGAGGACCATGACCCGTAAGAGAGCACGAGAACACAGAAAGATGCGAATCTGGACCAGGAGGCGTACAAACAGCGAGAAGGGAAGCAAAAAGACCCCAAAAGTTCACAATCTTCTCATCACAACTTCCCCGGTTTCAAAAGATACACAACTTGAACAAGCTCAGTTCATACGCGCTGCCCCGACGCGTTTCGCTGCCGGCGCACGCAGCAGACTCTTCAGGGGGCCTGAAGTTGAGATAACGACCTCTACCTTCTACTCCTATTTATCCCCAGAGTCGCGTGCCTACATCCATCCAAGCTCTATCCCAACTACTCCCCTCTGTTTACGTACGTTGAGAACACTTTTTCTCGTATATATGTTCCTCTTCCCTTTCCCTGACTATAGTACATGCATCTGGGCCCATTTCCGCTCTCCATTCCTCGGTTCCACTCACCTTCCCTTCCGGTTGTTTCACGTGTGTCTGCCCTCCCACCCGATTAGTGTATCCTGGTTCTTCACCTTCTCCCACCATCACTGACTTCAAGCGAAGTGTAAACACCCCGGTCTCTGCGTCTCTCCCCTTCGTCGTACGCAGTCTGATTCATGTAGCTAAAGATATCCCTCGTCATCCGACGGGAAGACCGGGCACGCTCAGGACAACACCCAAAACCAGCCCTGACTTAAAAAAACAACAAAAATCGGGTCGTACTCCCGATGGGTTCGATATACTGCCTCTGACCAAAGTGCTGCTCCCGCGTAGTTCGGGAATGATTCTACTCCCTCATATCTACTATATGCCGCAAAAGAAAAAAGAAAAAAAAAACACGAGAAAAAAACAGGGAAAATAAAATTAAAAAATTAAAAAAATTAAAACATAGGAATAAAGTACAGCAACAAGGGCACGACTTTCACCGTATCTCGATCTACATTCGGTCCAAAAACGTCCTCAGTCCGGGGTATTCGGTGGGGAGATAAACCCCCCACAGACCGTCGGACACCCTTGCAAACTTTGCAAGTGCTCCCAGAGAGACCTCCGGGGTGTACCCCCGGAGGCGGGTTTCCATAACCAGAGCAGCTGTCGCTGCTTTCAGTGCTTCGTCAGAATTGGACATTCGTTGGAGTCTCACTAAGCTTGCGAACACTGCAGCTTTCTTCGTGGACTTTTTTGAGAATGACGCGTAGTCTTGCATTGATTGTACCCTCAGTCCCATCCCTTGAGAGAGAAACTGTTGATTCCGTGTCTTAGGATGGATGAGAATCGTAATCGGATGACTGCGCAGGAACACCTTGGTTCCCATAAATTCAAAAACGTTGCTCCCTTCGTCCTTTCTGACCAGCTTCAGATTCTGATCATAGCACGACTCGAAGGCTTCCCTTATTTTGCATGCGTTTTGATAAGATCCTTCGTCGTCCAGTGAACCGCTATCATGATCGCCACGTCATCGATCATCCGAATTCCTCTCGTTAATGCACGATTGATCCCCAGTCCTCTTACAAATACTGACTCCGCCTTTGCACATACTAAGCATGCCAGTGCAGGACTCGAATTCCTTCCCATGGGAATTCCAAACTCCTGTTTCAGCACGCTCCCCGCACGTTTCACGTACGTGAATTCTAACACAAACTGGATGACGGATCTTATCATCTCAAACGATAAACTGACGAACCCTTCGGTCCTTCGTTCCCCCCTCATCATCGTGCACATCTTGCCTCGAAGACTCACCCTTACTGCTCCCATCACCCCTCCAGCCGCCTTCCCTAATTCCTTCTCAATATCTCCCAACCTCTCCTTTAGTTCATCCGTTGCCTTCAGATCGAAATGTTCTCCCCAATTAATCCCAAAGAGCATGTATCGTATCGCCCTCCCTGTTCTTGCTCCTGCCAGTCTACCAGGATCATCAGTCGCCGACGAAATTGGCCTCCACCTCTCTAAGTCTTTATCCTTAGGTAGCACGTATGCCTGTCCGATCTTCCCCCCGCTCTGCCATCGCCCTACTCTGATCAATCTTCTCCGATCGAATTCCCTTTTCATCTCTCTCATTATGAGCTCTTCTTCTCTCCTCACCTGGAAAAAACTCTGATTTTGATTGAACAACTCCCGACATGCCTCATTGTACAGTTGCGGCCCTGCGGGCATATCAACAGCGTCGCCCCCGGGTTCCTATCTATCGGTACTGCCACCAGCTCTTGGTACGGTCTCAGCGCCCGTTTCACCTCTCCCACCGTCATGGCCAGTGTGCACTCTCTCCCTCCCTCCCTATAGCATCTCCTTAGATCGGACTGGTCCACCCTCACCTGCTTTCCCCTTATCCACGTTGCCACTCCCTCTTTAATGCATTTTTCAAGCATTCAAAAGAAACATTGCATCCGTAGGTCACATTCCTTGAATTGGCCATGAAGCTTGGTATTCCCGGTACTTGTTCAATCCGTATCTTGACATGTCCCTGGATCTTCGGTAGCTCCACGTCGTGGCATCTGCATGGTGCTCGTTCCATTTCGGCAAATGTCTAGTGATTGTGTATGACTCCTCCAACGGTCCTCCTTCTGGTAACCGTCCTTACCTTAGCTGCTATGAACCGACGTAGGTACGTATCAAGTACGACTTCCTCGATAATCTTCTCTGCTATCCCTCTCACCTCCCCCAATCTCACATCCGGTGCAAATGGTATCTTCACGCACGGCCTTCTTCGAATCTCCACTCCAAACTTCACCTTCATGACCTTCATGATCGAATTCTTCAGTTGATTTCTCACCTTTTTGTCTGCAAAGAGCGTACATGTCCTATATAAGGCAATCAGATCCCGGGACTTCTTTCGGTACATATTCCGAATTTTCCCGGGATTTCTTCGTAACTCCCTAAGTACGTTCCGTCGGTGCTCCATGCTCGACGATATCACTTGGATACTCACCACCGGGAAATCCCCGCCTGCTTCCAACACTTTGCGACAATCCTTAATCCTCATTTCCTTCCCTTCCACTGACACCGTGCTCAAGCCTATCTTTCCTCTCACGACGCTCCATCTATCCACCCATACATTCCCTCCGGTAATCTTGATCTGATGCGCTCCGTTCGACCCCTTCATTTCTCTTATCACTTCCACGATGGATTCCCGCCCATTGCACCGTATGATTGATTCGGCGCTGTGTATATCGCTGTACGAGTACGGCCCGTCCATACGTACGGCCCCCCCGGTGCTCGTACGGCCCATACGTATGGACTTCGGGCCGTCCGTACACGGCCTTCCAGAGGGGTGTTGAGGGGGTGGATGGGCTGGGGGGGGGGTCGGGTGTCAAGGGGTACCCCCTCATTCAAAAAAACAGGAAAAAAAAAGATGTTTTTTTTTTTTGGGTCCCGGGTGATTTTTTTATTTTTTATTGATTGATTAATTCGTTGATTGATTGATTGATTGATTGTTTGATTGATTGATTGATTGATTAATTGATTGATTGATTGATTAATTGATTGATTGATTGATCGATTGATTGATTGATTGATTGATTGATTAACATGTGCACATTGATTGATTGATTGATTGATTGATTGATTAACATGTGCACATTGATTGATTGATTGATTGATTGATTGATTGGCAGTGGGGGGGTCGCCTCCCCCCCGCGAATACACACACATACACACACAAACGC